AGAGCAATTTTTTCTAAAACACTGAAAACCTAACTCTCAAGAAAAATCAGTGAAGTTACGCAGTGATGTATATTTTTCTCGCAAAATACATCACATTCTATTAACTTTTTCAGCCTTTATTGGTCTATTGAGTAATTTTCTAAGATGAATTCTCGGATGTGGTGGCAATTTTACCTCGTATTATCTATAGTTGCTCGACACTACGATGAGGCATTGCAGCATTATTTTGATAACGGCGATGGAAGGTTAAGTTCAATTTACCTGAAAGTTTGCGAGAATACCTTCAAGGCTTCGAAACAACCATTGTTCTATGTATTCAACTATGATCTAAGCTTGCAAGTCTCTCCTTTCTTAGAAAATTTGCACGATCTTTCAATCCAAACCATTCTAGGCAACCCGCACAGTCTCAAGTATCATATCGAAAACTCCCATCCGAAAAATATGGTTTTCTTTGTCGAAAGCTTATTTGATATTCTAAGTATAATTTTTAATTCTGTGATAGAGTCTAATTCTGATTCCGAGAAATATATACTTTACTGTTCGAACTCTACAAGAAGTGCCAATGATATAGGAGCCGAGAGTATTTCCCGATTAAACACATCCGAAAGTTGCGTCAAAATAGGGAGCCTGAACGTTCGATCAAACGATTTTAATTCTTCCTCTGGTCCACCATTGTTGATCGAAGATTTTGAACTAGAACATGGCTCGATAATATCGGATGACCTTTACGAAGCTACCCGTCAGTTGTACTCACACAATATTTGGAGCACCAGAAACTACCTCGTATTTTTTGTCTCCGATTCTAAGGCTAAGCACAACCACGACCGAATAAATACCTGCTTCGATAAGAATACCCTCTCTGCCACGAACCAAAATAACTGCGGCCATTTCGACGATCTGCGCGTTGTGTTCAAATTTCTCTGGCGTTTTTTCAAAGGCTTGAAATCAGTCGTCTGCTCCGCCAAAATTTGCTTCTCCTACAACTCATTCGCGGACGAAATCGCTCATTACACAGGTCTGCGCGGTGAACGGTATTTCAACTTCTCGTGGCCAAACTACGAAGAGAGAGTGTTTCAAATGGTCATACCGCGCAACAGACTCACAAAAACGCATGATCTTTTCCTATATTGGGACGTTCTCTGGTACCACATCTTAATGGAAATTATTGAATCGATCGCTACACAGAGGAACTGCCGTATTATGCCTCCTGCAGACAATGTCATCGACGAAAGTATCCAGGAAATCCATGAATTTCCCATAGCTCAAAAATTTGGCGTGGATGTTGTGACAACCATCCGGGGTATAGGAGTAGCGGAGATCGACTTCGCTCAGTACGAGTTCACAACAAGTATGGAGTCCTACCAGTTGTGTCTGGTAGTGCCTCCCGCAAAATTTGTACCCCAGAGCCTCGTAGTTTTTTACAGTTTTTCAATCACTATTTGGACTCTCATTCTGGTAGTGGTATCGGCTTTTATATGCGTTCTGTACGCGTTTCTGAAAATGCAAGTACATGCTTTCTCGAGTTTTTATAGTGAAGTTACCTTACAATCTTTCGAGACAGAATCAGCGCTTTTTACAGTATATGCCTATTTTCTCTGCGGCAATCCCCCGCATTTATTACTCGGGAAATTTTTTACCGGGAAATTTCTTTTCCTTTTATTCTCCTTCGCTTCCATCATAATCGTCACGGCGTTTCAGAGCAACATGTACACGATGTTTAGTAACTACGTGAAGTATCCTGAAGTTGACACTTTGGAAGACTTCGCCCGAACCGACCTCGTCATTCAGGTTCCTGACACGGATTCCTACTCGAAATAATTCGAAGCCGTGCCGCTTCTACAGGACGAGAGGAGACTTAGCGATACGTATTTTTTCCTCATTTCTAATATTATGCACGTAGTTTACGAGGATTGGGACAAGTGGATAGACTTGTTCAACATCGACTTTCAAAATCCGGGATCGGCGTCAGACATAGATCCAAACATTTTGAGCAAATCTGTAGAAATTGACAAGTTCATCGCCGCTACTGTCGGAAGTGATGCGTTTCTGGTAAATATCCCACCGAAGATCTTTGCGAGTAGAGATCTTGAGCTTCAGAGTTTTTTAAGAGTCAATTCGTGGTTCAAAGTCCACCTAGTTGAGGAGTGTCTGAACACGTATTCGCTTGCTTTTCGTTTCCCGAAGAACAATTTTTTCTATGACGCCGTGAACCAGAGAATTGTCCAGATGTTGGAGTCGGGACTCATAAGACGATGTATGGATGAATATTTCGCGAGGGGCAGCATTGATTTTAGAGAATCTCGTGTTGTTAGCGATGCACAATCCTTGAGACCCTTCACCCTGAACGATCTAGCTTTTGCATTCTTCACACTCGCTATTGGATTGACGCTCAGTTGTTTCGTGTTTGTTACTGAGCTTTGCACCGATTTGAAAGGGAGGAATAATATCGTAGGTCTCAAATTCCCACAGTTAATCCAGAAATTAAAAACTTTTTTTCCGCATTTCATAAGAAAGCGCTTGAATTGCTAACTTTGATCATAATGATTATGTAGCATCGCGTCTAAGATATTGGACTCCATGCTCATCCTTCATATACTTGCCTGCTCATCTTGTCCAAGATCTTGGACTCCATGCTCATCGCTAAACTTCTCACTTCTTTGCTTGAGCATGGAGTCCACAAGTAAGCAGACCTCTCTTAGTTTTAAAGTTAATCATGATAGAAAATCGTACACTTCGCTTATCTAATCTAACCTGAACTAACTTAACCTTACCTAACCTAACATAACCTAACCTAACCTAAGCAATCCACAATTTTTTTCGAGCACACATTTTTTCGCCTTTATTTCACAGAAATTGTCATAAGATTTTGGACCCTATGCTCGTGTATTGTTAGAAAATACCTGCATTCCACAATTTTGGACGCTATGCTCACTTCAATTTTTCGAAAAAAATAATCCCTAAAAAACCTAAAAGCCTTTCACAGGATTTCCTTGAACAGGATTTGTGCCTCAATCTCTCGTAATTTTGCACAGTTTTTCTTTTTCTATCTGGGCATTTGTCCTGGTGACCATATCAATCTTCGTGCTCGTTTTCTATTTGTTTCTACGCGTGCACGCCAATGAATTTCGTAGTCTCTACAGCGAGGTGACGTTGCGATCTTTTGAGGCCGAATCGGCTTTTTTCACGGTATATGCATACTTTCTCTGCGGCAGCCCAGCACGCTTACTCCTCGGTAAATTTCTGACCGGAAAAATTCTGTTCGTTATATTTTCCTTCGCTTCGATCATTCTCGTTGCAGCGTTTCAGGACAGCATGTTCAGAATGTTGAGTAACTACGTGAGGTATCCGGAAATTGATACTCTGGAAGAACTTGCACAAACTGCACACGTCATCCAAACTCCCAAGGCGTCTGAAACAGAATCCTATTCGAAATTCCTCCAAAACGTTCCCTCTTTAGAGAATGAAGTAGGGAGACTCAGCGAATCCTATGTTTTTCTCGAATCCGTTTTGTATGCTCCGATTGGCAAGGGTGAAGAGCTTTGGATACAAATCATCAACAACTCCAAATCAGAAGGGTTAGAAGAATCGCCAAGGTCAGAACAAAATCCTTTTGTGACAAGAAAGACAGCTGAATTCAAAAAAATTGTATCTGCTGCCTTCGAAACTGATGCATTTCTTGTGAATATACCCAATGCATATTTGTCTGCGAAAAACATCGAAGTTCACAGTTTTCAGGATTTCGGTTTGTGGTTCGAGATGCACCGAGTCCAAGAGCGCCTGAACTCCTATTCGCTCGTTTATCGTATTCCGAGGAATAATTTCTTTTTTGAAATTATGAATAAGAAAATTGTCCAAGTTGGCAGTGCCTGGCCAGTTGATCAGAGGCAGGCATCTCTGAACGGGTGGTGCTTGACTCGTTGGGTATATCGGATATTAGACCATCTCATGTCGGCAGCGAAGAACAACAACCCTTGAGACCTTTCTCCCTAAACGACTTGGCCTCCGCATTCATCGCGCTTGCTGTTGGACTTACGCTAAGTTTTTTCGTATTTATTGGTGAGCTTTGTATCGATTTAAAAGGGGGAAAGGTTGTCGTAGTTCCCAAATTCTTGACATTTTTCGACGGATTAAGAACTATTTTTTGTCATCAATAAAGAGGCACCTAATTTTGACACCAAAGTAACGTTCTTGTGATATTGAATTGAAACTGCTCTTTTAAGTACGAAACAGTTCAGGAATGAAAATCATCCACAGGCAGAACTAACATTCGTATTTAAACCCGAGGGAATGACAAAACTTGTGACCAACGTATTAAAATAAAAACGCTTTATCAGAGGTATCATATATGTATTCTAACTTAATTTTATAATGTATCAACAAATTGACTTGTATTTTTACGTATGTTGTAGTAAACACGAGCTTTACAGAAATTCAGAGGCGTATCCAGCAATTTGGCAACACCGGATTCCGTCCATTTAAACCTATCCTAAATAATCGATTCTTGTAGGAGCACCTTGCCCCTCCCAGAATCTATACATTTCCATAAATCGCTGATCGCAGACAGGTCATGACCTGGCCTGAGGGCCCTGCTTCTGTCAATAGTAGATTTAATGTGTGAAAAGTCATAAAAATTGTTATTGTAGTATTTGTTAATCTTTCTTTGCTTTCTCTTGAGCTATCTTTACAATTACAAACAACAACAATTATTACAACAATTACAACAACAATTAAACAATTATTATACAATTATTTTCCCATCATTTAATTTTATTATTTTACAATTAATGACTCAATCAAAACTGAAACACGCGCGTAGCTCAATTTAAATCGGATCGCCACGGGAATATCTCTTATTCGGTAATCGCACGTGTGGACCCTCAAATTTTAGCATATATTGAAACTTCTAATCTCAGTGTAGGTTCAAAATGGCGCTTTAGGCCAAGATAAGCATGGAATAAAAGTAAAATGAAAGTCCAACAAATAATCAATCGTCAACTTACCAGTCGTTTCCAGTCTTAGTCAAATTTTGTCGTTTTCTGCCAGTCTGGTGGGCTTTTGGCTCCGCAACTAGATTTACATCTGCAAAATCCAAAAACAAACCGAGCTCTAAAATAAATTCAAATCACACTAAGTAGGAATAAGCATACTTAATCATCAATTTTTGTGATTTCATGCTCTTCTCAAGATCCACAGAAAGTTGTATTGATGTTCCACTAGGACAATTTAATAAAATTATAGATTCATCAGGAAGAAAACAAGATACAAATAAAATACATACCTATATAGCGACGTAATTTAATACATGATTTAAAAAAATACACCCATTCCAGAAACATACGTTTGTGCGTCCTTGGGAGGAATGTAGTACATCGATAACAAATATATATCTTCTATAATTTATTATCATACGAGCAACGCCTAATGTCTGAGGTGCGAAGCGTTCAGAGGGCGTAACCACCTAGTTTTAAAATTGAAAAGCAAAGTAATTTAAAAAAAATATATATATATATATTGAAATAGTGTAATCATTTTTCAGACGGAGTAAGAAAATATGAAATTATAGGTCAGTAGACAAAACTGGCATTAGTGGTAACGACAGACTCATAAACATTTTAAGATAGAGAACGTAAGCAAGTACGTGTTCCCTCTCACAATCCGTATTGATGAAATCAGTGCACGAACGACGGGTCGTAAAAATTGTACTAATATGTATGTTTCATTGGGTAGCCAATGCTGGAGACTATAAGGAAGTTGTTAACTCACATCAAAATAAAAACGAAGTATTTATTTAATTTATCGAAACTTTTCGGCCTTGTGATAATAAATCACAATAGATAATTTGAATTCATAGGTTGCCTGGCCTTTTGGGTCCTACGAACTCTATGACCTAACCTCAATTTTTTTTTCTTTTGCAGTTTACTTGGCTTATATTTCAAATTTTTGGAAACCTACAGCCATCTAGACAAGAGTTCAACGGAGAGATTATTGCTTATTGTCAGTAGACATCCGGGGAAATTTTGCACATCCATGCTCCGGCTTTCAAATTTTCAGGGATTAAGAACGAGTAGAATCCGATTCTGCAGATCCACTCGTCAGTTCCGTGAAAATTTGTCGCCACTGCCGGGATTCGAACCCGGGACCTATATTGGTCTAGGGTCAGGGTCAGACACGCTGACCGCTAGGCCAACCTGGCCGGCTAACCTTAAAATTACCGACACGGCCATACTCTCCCTGTATGGATACTCTGGGGAAATCTAACACACAAAAAATGAACCAACTGCTTTGGTTACTTTTCACTGGAAAAAAAACACAATGGATCCAGAGTCCAGACTCTTGAAAACATTGAAGAGGAAAAATACTTTTGATTCAATCGGATTTTTGCTTGAATCAAAACGAAATCCGCTTATATTAAGAGGCTTGGTTCTTGATTTAAGCCAGATTCTGATTGAATCAAGAGTACTTTTTACTGTCGATGTTTTTAAGAGTCTGGACTCTAGATCCAATATGTTTTTTTCCCCAGTGTTTCTTAATGAGAAGTGGATAAGCCTCCAATTCATCATCGCTTTCTTAGTTTTAAAATGAAAACTTGGCAGAAATGTTTCGTGCGGCGGGAAATGATGAATTGCTGATCAAAATTTGACGGCCCGTCCAACTTTGATCGAAGAGGACTGCTTTGGAAAAAAAAAACTCATTGGATCAGAGTCCATACTCATAAAAACATCGACAAGAAAAAGTACTCTTGATTCAATCAGAATCTAGCTGGAATCAAGAACCAAGCTTCTTAATTTAAGCGGATTCCTTTTTGATTCAAGCGAAAATCCGATTGAATCAAGAGTACTTTTTACTGTCGATGTTTTTAAGAGTCTGGACTCTAGATCCAATGTGTTTTTTTCCCCCAGTGTTTCTTACTGCGAAGTGGATAAGTCTCCAATTCCGCGAGCCATTCGGCAACACGGCACCCGGAGCGGTTGAGGTTTCACCCCCGAGGGCGCGAGCGGTCGGGGTCGGGGGTGGAGAAAAGTTGGCGATGATAAACGATTGGCGGAGCGCTGAATTTAGAGAAGGCAAACTCGGGGCCGTAATAAAGTCGGCGGATAGATTAGCGCCCTCCCGCATCCTCGGCGCCTTCACCTGCCCGCGCGTCCGGCGTCCGGCTGGTCAAACAAACG